AGACAACCTGGATTCTAGTCTGGGGCCAGCCAGGTGCCACATTTCTGTCCATGAGAAGATTATAGGAAGCCTAAAAATCCCTATTGCCAGTGACACATAGCAAAGTAATGTCATAGCACAACATGTTTCTCTAGCATTGGATGCTGCTTCAAAACAGACCTTGTACAAAAGCTTGGCTGTACAGATCTGTGCAATGTGAAATTCTCATGGTGCACCATGTGGTGTGTTACTGGTTTAGGTATTTAGAGTACACCTCACCTATTAAAAACCCTTTCCTGTAACCACCGTGCTAGTTTACAGAGGCCTCAGGGTTATCTTTCCTTCGACTCCATGACTTCTTCTCATGGTTGATTGAATCTTTGCATTATTTGGTTCATCATGGCCTTGTGAGCCATAGGGTGTAGTGTGTATTTTGCTTCTGTGTTTACGTGTACCTTGGCATGCAGTAGGTGGTGCTGTCTGGATTTGTGTAAGTGTGCACTATGATGTCTGTTTACACAGCAGCATCACCTGGCCAGCTACACATCTCTTATAAAGCGTCCCCACTTATGAGTGAGGCATGGTTGTCTGCAGGTGGCTGGTGTTGGAGGATCAGGACTGGGGTGGGGGATGATGAATTCCGTGGTGGGCATGTTGGACTCAGGGAATGGGGATCATGGAGAGAACAGAGACACCCAGCAGTCTGCCCTCAGGTCTGTGAGTCTGTAGGTCGGAGAGGCTAAGTCTGCGGAGGAGGTGAGTGTTCATGAACACAGGGAACTGTGAGCCTGCCTCCAAGAGGTGCCTTTGCAGCTAGGAAACCAGCAGGGAAAACAGAAATGCTCTGACTTGGTAGCTCCTGGCATGAACACTTCAGAGCCCTCCTAGGGGTGCATCTCAGGGTGCAGAGAAACACATATTTCTTAGTTGCTTTGAGCAGGAACCAGAACAGAAGTGCTTTGAGCAGGATACAGACAGCAGGCCAATAGGTTCCACCCCACTGTAAAATCACAAACCAAAACCACGTGAAGTGGCCACATCAAAGGTCACCTCATTTACACTGAGGCTCTGGATGTAGGAAGGTAATCACTAACATAAAACGATTTCCTCTTATTGTAGGGTTACAGAAGCTAATAAAAACATTCTCCTGCCCCAAGGCAGACTCTCAGAAAAAAAATTTCCACTTTTTTCTCTTTCATTAGCTCATTTACATGTTCTGTTCTTACATTTATTATAATTTTCCACAAAGATCATTTTGATTTGGCTTCTGCATTGCAAGACTTCCTGTCCAGGCTTGAGCACTTTCAGTTACTTTACATTTGAGCACAGCGCGTGTGAAACGCTTTGTTTCCCACACATCATACCCAGCGTGGGGGTTTAAGGGACACCATCACCCCAAGCCCGCCTGTCCTGGTTCTGTCAGTGCTATAAACACTGCTCCTGGGGAGTGCGCAAGAAGACCAAGAGAGGCTGCAAATGCAAAGCTGGGTCCTCTACCCAATGACGGTGCCTTCATCACAAGGGCTGGCCATGTACCGCGGAGCTGCTGGTGTGCATCGTCCCTGGCCCCATGACCGCACCTCATGGGGGACTGGACAGAGGAGCAGGGGTGGCTTTGTCAGGCTTGCACAATTTGGATGTGGAGAGGGTGCAGGGTTGGGGACAGTGGCTCTAACCTCCAGGCTTCCCAGCCCTCCCTGCTGCTCTGCACTGACCCGGATTGTACTCACTCCTCCTGCACTCTGGCCCTGTTGTACCGACTTACAATGGTTCCATCTCCTCCTGGCCTGTCTCAGTCATACCAAACACACAGCACCTTCTGTTTCTCCTATTTTTTCCCACTCTACCTACTATAGCGATGGGTTCATGATCACTTATGGAAAACACATGGGAGAAACACTGATTTCCCAGGTGGAGTGAGGTTACACAGTCAGGACGTGGGAATGTCCAAGTAGTTCATGTCACATCTGTAACTTCAGCCCTCTGAGAGGCTGAGGCAGGAGGACTGAAGTTCAAGGCTAGTTTGGACGACTCATTGACTTATTGAGACACTGTCTCAAAATTTAAAGCAGGGGGGCCAATGTTGGGTGTGGTGGCTCATGGCTATAATCCCAACACTTGGGAGGCTGAGGCAGGAGGATCACTGGGAATTCCAGGTAGCGTAGGCTACAAAGTAAATCCAAAACCAGCCTGAACAGCACAAGGGAACTTTGTCTCACAAAGGAGGGGAGGGGGCCCAAAGATACAGCTCAGCGGCACAAACACCTGCCTGGTAATCGTGAGGTCCTGAGTTCGATTCCCTGTATCCCCCACCTCCCTCCCAAAATGCTGGGGATTTAGGTGAATGCAAAGGCCCTGGATTCACATCCTGGTACAGTGAATAGAAAAGAATAAATACTACAATTCCTTACTTTGAACTTGACTTCTGAGAAGTGGAAACTAAGAAGCCACAGGTGTTGAATTCTGCACACATTAGGGCAATGCTCGTCCAAAATCACATTGCTGTCTTATAGCTGCATGCTGACTTGGAATGTGCCCTATGTGTCCTTTAAGGTGAAGTCCTGGTGACAACTTGGTGACAACCCCTCTCTCAGGGCCAGGACATATGGTCCCCGGGGAGCAAGAGTACTGAAGCAGGGCCCAGTGCCAGTGACAGGCAATATGGGCCTAGATGCAGGTTCTGCCCTGCTGCTGGCTGCCTGTCCAGGGGGCGGGAGATGAAAGTGCTTCCTGCCTCAGTCTCCCTGTTTACATGGGACAAGGGGCAGCACCTGCTCCCTGCATCTCCCAATCAGAGGTGTCACCCTGGATAGAAAGCCACTGGAGGAGAGGCATCCATGGAGGTCTTCCTCCAGGAAGGCATCAACAGTAGAAATCTTCTCCAGTGCCCATCACCCAGAGGCTGCTGGTGATCCAGGAAAGCTGGGATGCTTCTAACCCAGGCAGCCTTCCCCCAGGAGAGAGTGCCGGGCCTCGGTCCTCAGGGTTTGCACGAGGGTGGGGCTGCTCTCTCGCCTCTCCTGCCCGCCTTTCATGTAAGTGTGCTATACTCTGACTCGGGGTCTGTCAGGGAACACTAGAGTAGGAGTCATGGAGTGGGATCTGACGGGTCACACACATTCAGTTAGTGTGGCTCTCCTGCTGTGTAAGGCAGGGTTGGTCGGCAGGGGACCCTAATGCTCCAGGGATATGTGTGCTGAACAGAGAGCCCTTGGTGTGTGCTCAGAGCAGCAGGCAGGTATGCTCACACAGACACAGGCTGTTATGGCCTTGCGTCATGCTGGTGAATCATGAGTGACAGGTGGTACCTGGGTTTGTGGAAGCACACGTGACTAATATACCCAGCTGGGGATTCTAAGGGTGTAAGCAGAGCTTGCCGAGCCCAATTTAGCAGCTTAGGGAGATTCTAAGTCAAAAACCACAAAGGCCCTGGATTCAATCTTCAGTATCAAGAGAAAAAAAGAGATTATCAGGTGACTCTAAATGTCTTTGCTTCTAGGTAGCTGACTCTCCTCCATAGTGCCATGTTGCACACCCCTCAGGCATACAATTCACACTTCCACCCAACTGTGCGTGAACAAATACCTTCATAATGGAACATATTAAATAATTTCCCATACAAAGAGTTTTATCAGAATCTAAAATCAGGCCCACTATCACCTGATACGTTTGTCAGTTTCACTGTTAGTGTTTCTATCTCAGAAGTTCTTGGCAAAAGAAGCATTTGATGTATTTTAGTCACCCAGGCATGGTGGTGCACTCTTAAAATCTCAGGACACTGTGAGGCTGAGGCAGGAGGGTCACAAATTTGAGTCCAGTTTGAATATTAGCAACTTAGTGAGACCCTGTCTCAAAATGGAAGTGCTAGAGATGGAGCTCAGTGCAAAGACCCCATGTTCAATCTCCAGTACCGCCATCAAGAAAAAAAAAATCCTAGTTGATAATCCTGAGATTGACCAGGGAAATGTTTCTGGAAATAAAGAAGTATAGGAACCAGAATGGGAATAGGAAGTGAAGAGGTTTTTTTAAAAAAGACAGAAAAAGCCATAACTCATCCGAGTGAGGCCATTAACCCTGTGTGGGTAATCCAGACAGCTCTTCCCATGTTCAACCTTTCATTGAATTTCCATTAGGTTGACAAATCCCGGAATAGTAAGCATACAAACCAGGGAAAGGCACCAGGATGAGCTTCGCTCCCTGTATTAGCTGCACAGACTGCTTGCTTGTTTCTCTCAGGTTTGACCCTGCTACCTGCTTCATGAGGCTTTGGGTTGCACCCTAACCTGTGAAGCCCGTGCAGACGCAGGGAGCTCACGGAGAGGGCAAACAGGGCTTGGGAGGGGCTCTGAGGGCCGGGATCTTTCCGCCCCCACATGCAGAGCACTGCTCGCTTTGGAGAAACCAGCTCTGTGTTGACCCCAGTGAGTCCCAGACTGCTTGTCTGAGTGCAGAGAGGTGCAGATCTCACTATTCACAGGATCTTCTAGTCCAGGGGCTGCCATAACAGAAGCGCACTTTCAGGAGATTAAGAGTCACTGAGCCTGATCAACAGTGTCACAAAGAAGCCAACGCAAACGGGAGCAAAGAGCGGCGACCAAGCATGTGCCGAGAGTGGCGAGGTCTCTTGCAGAACGCGAGCTACCAAGCTGCAAAGCTCCTCTCATGGTCACCAGCTCCCCCTTAGAACCTGCAGAGGACACATCTGAGACAGGTTGTCTCAAGAGTATGCCAAGACAAACACTACCCCCCAGGCCCTGCGGGCTTCTCCCCCGCTCTCTTATCTTTCATGCCCTTTCCAGGGAGCAGCCTCCCAAACCTTCCCCTGTATTTCATCTCCACAAGCCTCCCACACCCACATGATCAAAATTTCTATTTTATATTTCTTAACATTATCTGTGCCGGAAAAAAATCACAGCATTTCACCTATAGGCCCAGGACCTCAAGTCAGGCAGGAAGGCAATAGTTAAAGAAAACCAAACTCTCCCCTCTCTGGAGAAACAAACGGCCCACCGCCTGCTTACCCTCTCCACGCTGCGTCTCCTCAGCGATCCATAAGGTATCTTCAGCAAAAGTCTCTGAGGTCTGTTCGGAGCCACTGCAGTCTGAACCACCATGGTGTGGAGGCGTGCGTGTGTGTGTGTGTGTGTGTGTGTGTGTGTGTGTGTGTGTGTGTGCGCGCGCGCGTGTATGCTCACCTGTTCCTAGCAAAGCGTGAGATGGAGGCTTCCCCTAGACTGAGTTAGGATCTCCTGGTGGTTACTCAAATATCAGAGAACTGTGAGAGCGTTTCTCTTGACCATATGGGTCAAGCTGTGGTTTGTCAGGAGCTGGGGGGATGGGAAAAGAAAACCGTCCCTGCTTGGTGACTTCGGCTTCCCCGCTGGCCCCACGTCCCCATGCGCTGGCTCCAGGAGGCTGCTGCTGCTCTGAGGAGCGGGCAAGCGGCGCTTCCAGGGAGAGTGATCCAGAAATGTCAACTCCGCTCTTCGGGCTGTGATGGTAACCAGGTCAGCTGTCTCATCAGGCCTCTGCCGCCGCTTTATTCCTTCCACCACGTGACTCCCGAGCCCTTGGGCTGTGCAGTGGGTCACATGCTCACCTTAAAAGGACTATTTGGAATCTCCCCATCTGGAGCAGAGATTAGTGTTCAGCCCTACATTCTGATTTCACTCTCGTCTGCACACAGGGAAAGTATTTGAGGACCGGCAGCATAGCACACTGGGGACTTGGGAGGAGTCTCTTTCCAGTTGTAAATTATCCCTTTGAAACTGAGCTTCAGATATGCAGGGGTTTTTTCGCCTCCTACTTTCCAGTGCATAGCAAATAAATACAGGAATATCATTAGCTAGGAGAACACAGTCCACAGAAAGAAAATGTGGGAGACAGAAGAGAAAACACGATTGCATCGCATGGTTTAGAGAAATCACGTCCAGTGTAACAGACCTGCATTTCCCACCTTTCCACGTAAAATTCTGCAATGGAGAACATTTATATTTACGTGTGTCAGTGAGCGCACCAAATCACCTTGGGTTTACAAGGCTTGGGGAGGATGGATGGGCCCACACTCGCCCATCACACCCGCCAGTTCTTCATAACCATGGTGTAAACCCATGTCAGTCTTCTCAACGGGAGGTGTCAATGGTCTAGCATTAGCTCTCTTGTGATATTTTTAGCTCGTCTTCCTCCCCCATCCCGCCCCCCTTATTTCCTCAGCAGAGAACATTACTACTAGGAAACAGGAGGACAGGGCTTCTGGAACTGGAGCATCTTTGTCTTCTAGTTAACATCTTTCTCAGACCCTACTCCCCTCAGTTCTGGGTTTATAAACGCACGGCCACTTCCGCTGCAGCAAGCCCGCGCCTTCTGGTGTCAGCCAGCTATTACGCATATGTTCTGGGAACCGCTTTTATTTACTCTCCACAGCCTGGAGCTTAGTTTATTGAAAACTATGGAAAAGAAAGTTCTGTTTATTTAAACAAATCTAATAGGAAGTGGGGGTGGGGTGCAAAGGGAAGAAACCGAGTTTTACTCTCCTAGAAAGAGAAGCAGGGAAAGACTCCAGAGAAAGGGGTGGCCTGGTCTGGGACGTGGGCGCCGTGCTCCCACGCAGATGCACATTAAGAGGCCGTTAAGGAAGCATCCAGTGGATGTGGGAAACTCTACATACACAACAATCGGGCTTTGTTCATAACTGGTTCCATATGTGCGGCTGGACAACCAGAGAGGGAGCCGCAGGGAAGGGTCCCCCGGAACGCAGCTCTGTGGGGTATCCCTGGGAGGTGGGTTAGGTTACATCTTTTTTTCCCTGTCTTTCTTGCTTCCTGCCTCCAACCCTGGTTTCAGAGTATGGGGGAGGAAGATAGGAATAAATCTGAATAGCACCTGGTCAGTTAGCCAAACCAAGAGACTCTTTCTTCCCTAACACTGCACTGGCCCGGGGACACTTCTGAACAAGGGGCAGGCATGTGTCCAGGACACCAGTCTGTGGTAGCCGTGGGACCCAGCCTTTCCAGCTCTCCACAAGAGAGGGCAGGGGATCAGATTGCAGAGAAGTCACTGCCTCTCCTCTGACCCAGCCAGGGCAGAGCCCAGGAGCTGGGCTTATTTAGATTTGAGGAAATGCGACTTCCTGTTTCCCAGGGGTATTAATGAGCATTTGGGTGAGGAGCTTAGGCTTGGCGGCACAGTTCAGATCCTAAGGGACACTTTTATGAACTAAGTGCACATAAAACAAAAACACATGCATTTGATTAAGGTTAAAATACATATAGAAAAGAATGTTAATGGAAGCAGAAATAACCCTGGGCCACACTCCCTCAGGCACAGCCCACGCATTCCGCCCTTGGGGGGGGGCAGCGCTGGAGCATGTGGAGAGTAGGTATCTTCCTCCTCGGTGATCTGTGGGCTCCTGGAGGTCAGCTTGTCCAAAGACACCTTTCTGATCGTTTCACTGTGCAACCTTGAGATTTATTGGTTTATCATCAATGACGGGACCTTGGTAGCCATGTTGAGTTCTTATTCTCATTGTTGGGACACAGATTTGCTTCCCGGGAGGGTTTAGGTACTCCTGGCCTAACTGATATGACCACTTTGGTAAAGGGACGGAGTGGATGTTCACCAAAGCGGTGCCCGGGGAGGTTACCAAAGCCACCCTCAATGAGGAAAACCAGTTTCATCGTGCCTGTTTTATAAATGAGGAGAGAGCTCACCAGTTACACAGGTGGTGCAGGAGGACATGGTAGAGCTCAGAGGAAAGCCAGTGCCCATTTATGAGAAACTGGACCCTGTGTCATCCAGTCTGCCTCCACCTGTGAGGAAGTGACCAGGCACTTCCTCAGCTTACAGAAGTTTCAGAAGCCTGAGAAGAGCGGGATTCCTCGGGACTGCTGGGAGGTGGGCAACACTGCGGGCAGAGGCAGCAGCCAACCTGGGTAAGCACAGCATTCAGGTGAGCAGTTCCAGTGCCCTGGGTCTGGCTCTGAAGTCAGCCGGCCTAGTACAGTTGACACAGAAGCTGGGGAGGCCTGTGGGACCAGGGCCACCAGATGGAAGTGGGAGCCTGACAGACCCCACCAGTGAGAGGCTGGAGCACAGTCAGAGGCCGGGGAAGGGAGGAAGGACCACAGCATCTTCCTGGCCTGCCTTCCGGGGTGCATCAGCCTCTCTCACCTGAGGGAGCGTGAAGGGAACAGCCACACAGACAGGACAGGAAAATGTGCTCAGGACCAGCACCCAGGGACGGAGATGATGGATCAGAGGACCGGATGTGGATGTGGGGGATCTAGGAGTGACCAGAAAAGGGCAGGGGTCTAGAGGGCAGCATTTAGAACAGCTCCTACAGGGAGGTACACCAGGGAATGGCCTGGGGTCCCTGGATCCTGGCTGAGGTGGGGGCTGGGGAAAGCACCCTTTTGAACTGCTCTGAGCTGCTGCTTGTATGCTTGGCAAAGCACTCAGAGTGCTTCCACTGGCAGCTGGGTTAAGGTTTTGTTTGTTTATTTGGAATCTTCCTCCCACCCCTCCCCTGTCTCAATGAAAACGTTTACATTAGGACTCTGGGAGAAGCATGTGCAGAGCCTTGGGCATGGCACTTTAGGAAGATCAGCGCTCTAAAGCCATGGGTGCCCTGCTCCAGGTGGCCCAAAGTGATGGACGAGAGAGGTTCTGGCCCACTGGAGGGAAAGGAAGCCTTTTACACACTGCTGTTAGTGTGCGACAGCCTCAGGGGTGAGACAGCCCACCTAGGCTGGGTGCCTGTGCATGCGTGTGTGTGCTACTGCCAGCGGGCTCCAACTCCAGGGCATGTTAGACACCATGCCCATGTGAGGTCATAGATGCGGGCATGGCCTTGAGCACTGTGCACTGCCACTCCACCCAGGGTGACTCTGACGTGTCCCTGGTGTCTGCCCAGTGCCTAAAATCCCCCAGGAGCTCAACCCTTTGGTTTGTGGGACACCCTGCAATCTCACCTCAGAACCAGAACCTGGTCTGGGTTAAGAACAAGTCAGAGGACAGACTTCCGAGGTGGGACTTGGGGGCACTCTGCAGAGGGGCTTCCAGGGGACGCATAGGCTATGCCCTGAGAGCCCAAGGCAAGGAGGGGGGCACAAAGGACAGAGCCCTAGGCCAGAATTTGGAAGGGGAGCACAGGGCCTGCCGGAAGACATGAGCAAGTGTTCCAGGTCTTTCTCGTTTCTTACCCTTCCTCCCCTGTGAAAAGGGGACTGCCCTTGCTCACAGGCAGGAAACAAAGCGATGCAAAGCAGGCAGCCTTTCCCAGCAGCCCCAGCCATCACTTCTTACAGCATCTTGTGGAACATGAAAAGGGGGCTTCTCTCAGTGTCCTGAGATCTCAGGAGGAAGGGTGACCACTACCCCCGCTTCCTTGTGCATTGCCCTCAAAGGCCAGCAGGCTGGCGGAAGGGCATCTCAGAGGCTGATGCAAACACCAACATCACTTCTGACACTGGAGGTGACCTCACCTGCTGGCTGAGGGACCCGGGGAGAAATGAGCTCAGAGCTGGGCAAGTGAGGCCTCCTGCTCTGACCTCTTCTTTTGCCCTCTTCAACCCAGCAGGGCTGGGGCAGCTCCAGCAGTGGAGTGCAGGGAGATGCACCGGCGAGGTGAATCTCCCCATCTTTGCGAACAGAGCCATTCCCTCAAACCCACTCTGAGCTGGGGATGGGAGAAACCAGCTCTGGATGGAGCCTTTTAAATATTGTCAAATGAAACAGGGAAGGGGATGAAAGGCCATGGAAACCGAACCAAATTACACACAAAGAAAATGCTCTTCACAAATTTAGAAAATTCCTAGAGTTGGGGGAGTTTGGCAGGGAGGCCCTGCATTTCTTCAACATTCCAGCCTCGTTCCCATCACCCCTGCCTCAGCTAACCTGGGGGACTTCTGTCATGTCTCATTAGCAGAAGCTGTGACCGAAGCTCCACAAACAGAAACGCTGCCTCCATCTCTAATTCTCTGTTTGAAAGGGGCCAGAATTTAGGTCAAACATGAAATCCAATATCCCCAAACAGGACCAAGACATCAAGCAACACTCTGCCATCAGGCCTGCCATCCGGGGCCTGCAAGAGCACTCCCCGCTAGCTCGTCAGGGTGGCCAGTGTGTGTTTGTGTCGCTGGAGTGCATGATTTGCAGGATTCCTCTTAGAAAGAACCTTTCTCCTTGTGAGACATTGGAAGGACTGCAGCTAGTTTGGGTGGGCAGTTTCTCTCTGTCTCTGTCTCTGTCTTTCTCTGTCTCCTCTCTCTCTCCCGCTCTCCCTCCCTCCTTCCTTCCTTCCTTCTTTCCTTCCCTCTTTGCCTCTTTCCTCCCTCTGGTTGGGCTACTTCTGACATTCATGTAATACTCTCCCCCACGAACAGCCAGGCAAAGAAGATAAAGTGTGGACAGGACTGTCCAGTTTGAACCTGCATTGTCCCTGCTGGAAAAAATTGTGGTGCTTTAGGATAAGTGCACTGGCAACTACTTGCTTCTGAAATGACACTGTGATTTGATTACATTCTGTATGACCCTTGGTGACATTGACCTTGTTC